GTGCGCGCGTGTGTGCGCGCGCGCTCATGCATGTCCTACATGTAGAAACCAGAGATCAATGTCAAATGTCTTCCTCAATTACTCTCCACCTTGGTTTTTGATACAGGGTTTCTCATTGAAACTGGAGTTCATTCATTTGACCAGACTTGCGGGTAGTGAGTTGCAGGGGTCTGTCTGCTTCTGACTCCCCAGTGCCAAGGTTTTAGACCCATGCTGCCCCGCCTGGCTTTTACAGCGGTGCTGGGGATCCGAACTCAGGTCCTCAGGCTTGGGGATCGAGTGCTTCACCTGCTGAGCCATCGCCCCGGCAGCACTTGTGTGCTGAGACTTTAACCCTGGTGGTTAGGACACCGAGTCTTGAGAGGTCAGAAGGTCATAATGGTAGCACCTCACGAATAAGATTTGTGTTCTTATGAAAGAGACCTCCGAGAGCTGCCCCTCTCCCCACCAGTGGGGATACGGCAGCATGCACTTCATGGAGCCGGGGAGTGGCTTTTCCTGATGTGTGCTCTTCTAGCACCTTGATTTAGGCCTTCTGAGCCTTTGAGCAGTGCGCCGCTGTCTCTCACAATTCCTCCAACATACGAACTATATATATGTGCACCCGAGTGCCTACAGCCACACAAACAAGTACATACCACACACTACACACAGTGAGCACACACAAAGGCTCCATACCCTCCTCATCTCAAAAGCTCCATCGGAAAGTTCTGTAATGACTGCCACTGCCACATCTGGTACTGACAGATGACCCCAAAATGTGCCTGAGCTGGAAGTGACTGAGATCTGACAGCTGTCGAAGCTCACACGTGTATGAATTGCTTGGGGGTCTTGTTAACATGTGGGTTCTGGCTCAGGAAGCCTGGACAGGTAATGTTGTGAATTTCCGGAGACATCCTGTGATGCTGACCAGTAGGAAACAGCCTACTTTCACAACTGTGTCTTCCAAGATCTGTGCCACCTCTGACCTGAACTGAGAGAGAGAAAGATAGAGAAAGAGAGGGAGGGAGGAAAAGGGAGGGAGGGAGGGAGAAGAGAGAGAGAGAGAGAGAGAGAGAGAGAGAGAGAGAGAGAGAGAGAACATGCTTTCCTTGACTGGTACTGGAACACTGCCCAGGAGGAGAAAGCCCAGCTGATCTGCTCATGTGGTGGCTATGGTTGCCCATCTTCTATACTGATGGGGTGATCCCACCATGGCACCAACCTGGATAAAGGTGTTGAAACCAGCAAAGGTGTGAGCCAGAGTCCACGGTGCCCAGGGGCTTTCCCTGCACAGTGAGGGGCCTGCCATCCACACCTGTGTCTGGTGTAGAAGGGCAAACAGCAGCTCCATCCCTTCTCACAGTCCTTTGTGTCACCAGCTGTGACAGTCTGACATCCGACCGGACACACGGACACGTTCCCTATTATAAAGTGTCCAGTCCTAGTACACCAGCAAGATCCTTTTCCCCATTTAACAGGACACACTTCAGGTTCCAGGCACTGGGGCATGGGCACCTTGTTGGGGGGAAGGGACCCCTTGATGGAGGGAGGTTGCACCCCAGCCACTCTGCGGCCCTGCAGGGATGTCTAGGAACACCCACTGCACAGTGGATGAAGCCACGCTACTGTGGCAGAGGGAGTGTGAGCAGAATTTGTTCAGAGTTTTGCTGTCCCAGAGGAGTGGCGTAGCTGTGGCTTTCCAATGAGAAAAACCACTGAGTGCCTGACCTTGATTTACAGTGCTCCACACGGTTGAAAAATAGAGCTATTTTCATGATGGCGTTTTCCTTTAAAACGATACCCTGGGAATCCAGAGCCAGGTACTGCTGATCTGAAGGAGTGCCCATGTGGCCGTTCAGCTTCACAAAGGCTAAGAAGTTCCCACCCTGGGGGACCGTAGCATCCTAGTGTGCTTTAGTGGTAAGAGTCACTAAAAAGGCCAAACCCACAGAGCACAATGTGGTCACAGTGCTGTGGAGAGGAAGGGGACATCCAAGGTGAAGGAAACAGAAGTCTGTGGTTGACAGCAGTTTCAGGATGACTGTCAGCATTTCTCCAGAAAAACGAAAACTTGTGCTGTGTGCAGTCCGACACTGTCAGAAACCAGCTGAGCCGCAGGTAGGGGCCCCTGGCCTCAGGGATGCTGAGAATGTGTGTGTGTGTGTGTGTGTGTGTGTGTGTGTGTGTGTGTGTGTGTGTGTGTGTTGGGGAGTAGATCCCTCCCAGTTATCTTCTGCCTAATAATTCACTCCTGAGTGTAGAGGCTTAACACTGCTGTTTCACTGTTTCTGTTCTGTGGGTGACCTAGACCAGCCGGGTGCTCTACTGAACTTCAGGATCCATTGACAGGTAAATGATAACAGACCTCACTGAAGCACCTGGTCGTGGGAGTTAGATATGAGACAGGGTGGTGGTCCTTGTAGATAGCTTCAGGGCCTCTTTAGCAGGTAGATGGATTTTTTAAAATGAGAAAGTATCAATCTTTTCTACAAAGGCCAAAGATTTCAAGCTTTGCAAAGCATTCAGTCTCTACCACACATTCCCAACTCCACCCTTGTCATGCGTGGGTAGTCTCAGAACAAAGAGGTGAGTTAATGTAAGAAAACCGTATTTACAAAAACAGGTAGTGGGCTGGAGACAGCCCAGGGCCATAATTTACCTCCTTTGTCTTCCAGGCTGGCTCAGGTTAAGTACAGTCACCCCCATACCTGCCCAGGCCAGGCCCAGATCACTTGTCACACTCTGTAGGTTAGAGTGGGTCACAGGGTTGTGGTGTGGCTTAGGTAGCAGGATGCTTGCCTGGCATGCATGAAGCCCAAAGTTCAATGCTGTCACTGCGTCGGTCAGTTATGGTGCTCCATGCCTATCATTCTAGCAATTGGGAGGTGGAGGCAGGAGGATTAAAAGTTCAAGGTTGTCCTTGGCTACATAACAAGTTCAAGGCCAGCCTGGGCTACATAAGACTCTGTCTGTTAATCAATCAATCAAGCAAGCGAATATATCCCAGATTCAGCCCAGACAACAGTGTCTCAGATGTAGACAGGCAATTGTTTCCTCTAATCTCCCCGCTTCTGTCTGTGGCCCTCTAAAATAAACTGATGAAAGATAAACCAGAGAAAAACGAGTAAAACTTTTATTTGTTAATGTAAAGAATGTATTAATATTTTGATTTGTTGTGAGATAACACAGAAGAAGTGAAACTCACACAGTTAGGTCCCAGGCCCTCTGTGCCATTTTAACAGAATCCAAAGTGTGCTGGGCCATGAGGAGGCAGAGGAGAGGGGGCTGGGCCTGGGGGGAAACACACGGTAGAGGGGGTGTAAGAGAAGCTCCTGGAAGGCCAAGTTCACGGAGCAGGGTCTGTTTGTGCAGAATGCAGCCTGCAGTGTCATCTTGGAGATGGCATCACCTCCACCAAGGGACATGTATGACTTTTCCACACGTGGGACGGCAGACGGCCATTCTACATTCACTGGGTTGCAGTTGGCTTCTGCTCAAAATGAGCCTTACCCAAACTGGCCTATTTGGGAGTGGCAGAAAGGCCTCTCTGAAGATGACAGGCTCCTGACGACGCTGTGTTTAGAGATCAAGGTTTTGCCTGGTTGGCTGATTCAAAGGAAACGCTACTGCATTCTATTTTCCGGTTTCCGCTGAGGAGCCAAGTGTGCCTTTGGGGTGTACCTCCACAGGCCTGAGGTGTGTCTGCTGACTCGGAGCCTCTAGAACACCAGCACCTTCTAGAATATCACCAACACAGTTACTTTTTTTTTCTTTGGGGGGGGGGGGCTGGAGAGATGGCTTAGTGGTTAAGAGCATTGATGGTTCTTCCAGAGATCCCAATTTCAATTCCCAGCATCCACATGGTGGCTCACAACCATTTATAATGAGATCTGTTGCCCTCTTCTGGCCTTCAGGCATACATGCAGGTGGAACACTGTATACATAATAAATAAATAAATCTTAAAAAAAAAAAAAAAACCCACAACGCAGTTACTTTTTTTCTTTGGGTGCTGGGAATGCAACCCAGGGCCTGTGCACACTCTGCAAGTCTCCTTTGCCAGGCTGGGCTCTCCGTTGCTGTGTGCTGTTCCAGGCCAACAAGGTCCGGCTGTGAGCACGTGTCGTGTCTGTTCTCTGCCTGTCTCCTCTCACTTGTTTTGAATTTGCACACAAGAGACAGAGACCCGCGACAGTTACCATCAGGGTGTGTGGCCATTCTGGCTTGGCGTCTTGGGGTCAGAGGTCCTTTGAATCTGTACGTGTGTGCCGTGTATCCGGCAGCTGGAGACTGAAGTTAGAGGTCTTCATCAGTAACCCACTGTCTTTAGTTTTTGAGGCAGGGTCTCTCTCTGAAGGAGGAGCTACCAGATTAGGCCCGGTTGGCCCGCCAGCAAGAACCAGGAGTCCTACTGGTTCCCTCTGCCCACCTAGTATTAGCATCACAAGCTTGTGCGCCCTCCCTTGGCTTTTGATGTGGCTACAACTCAGGTCCTCAGGCTTGTGGGGCGAGCACTTTACGGCTGAACCATTTCCCCAGCGGCCCCCCCCCCATTACACCGTGTTTCTGTTTGGTGTCCAGAACGACTGCTCTGATTAAGGGGTGTCTCTAAGGGACAGCTTTGGGGCCGAGAGGCTTCAGACACATCTAGACCCTTCCTTCGGGAGAGGCCTCAGTTGTCCCGTCTCGTGTCTTTACACTTTCATGTCAGCTGTCTTTGGGGAGCCTTAGCCCATCTCTGAGCTCAGTGGACTCAGCCCAACTGCTCCCTGCTGGTCCAGCCTCACGGCAAGGATCTCTGTCCCCAGAGGGTCCAGAACCTTCTATCAATAAACATCATGGACCATGGTTTTGTACTAAAGATTCTGACTTCTGATTGGCTGGACCCAGAATCTGACGTCACAGACAGTAACCAATCAGGATCTTCCTTTAAAGGAAACTAGCTGAAATAAGAATTCAGCCGCTTCTTTAAATTTCCACTTCTTGTCAGTCTACGACGTCAGACTCCTCTGCGCAGACATCCAATGCTGCTTTGTCTAGAATTTAGAATCAAGAGTGAAGTCAGGAAAGCGCCTCAAGTGAACAGCATCCATTATCTGCATCCACTTCCGGTTTAGGGGTCTCTGTCTCTCTCTCTCTTGCTCTCTGTCCTTCCCTCTCTGTCCCTCTCCTCCTCCCTCTCTCCCTTCTCTCCCCCTCCCTTTCCTCCTCCTTTCTTCCCGTCCCTCTCCCCTCTCCCCTCCAAGCCAGAAGTGACCTCACCATCAGAGGCCCGTTCTTTAAGAGGTCTTAACCTGGACACTGGTTCCAGGCTGTCCAGAGTTCTTCTGTAGAGCGGGTTCAGTTGCTGCTTCTGGATGAACCAGGATGAACTGAAAGCACTTGAAAGGAGGAAGGAAGAAGGGAGGAAGAGAGAAACTAAGTAAGAAAAGAAGGGAAGACGAGGGAGGGAAGGAGGAAAGACAGAGGAAGGAGGGAAAAACAAGGAGGAGAGGGAGAAAGAAGGAGATGGGGAGGGATGAAGGGAAGGAGGAGAAGGAAGGGAGGAGAATCAGGTAGGCACTGAGACACCCATGGATGCAGGAGTGCTTCTGAGGTCGCCATCTGTCTGAACTGGTGGGGGGGACCTTCACCTCGGCAGAACAAGTGTAACCGGTCATGATTCGTGTTGATCTTCTTAACTTGCATGATTCATTTCTCACCTGGTGAGAGATTCTGTACCTGGTCAAAAGGTTTCTGAAATGTGTTCCCAGCTTGTTTCATTTCTTCATATCACTCTCTCTCTCTCTCTCTCTCTCTCTCTCTCTATATATATATATATATATATATATATATATATATATATATATATATTGTGTGTGTGTGTGTGTGTGTGTGTGTGTGTGTGTGTGTGTGTGATGGGGTGTGGTGGTGGTAGGGGGTGAGGACTCTGTGAACTTACTTAACTTTAAGGCTCTGTGAGTGAATGGTAGGAAGGAACCTTTGGGCTTAGCAAGTATACCTCTCTCTTTTTCTGTTTTTTTTTTGTTTTGTTTTGTTTTGTTTTTTTGTTTTATATGTGATGAAATTTGACCCAAGCTGCCTCCTCTCCCTGCCTGGGCCAAGGCCAGGAGAAGGGCTCTCCAGGATGGGAGGGGCTCTGCCTCTGGCTCTCAGGGTGGGTTTTGGGAGGGTACATTTTTAGGACAGGATGCAGAATTTTAATGGGAGGAAGAGTAGTGGTCCCGATAAAGCAGCTGCACGTCACACCTGGCCTTGCTCCCCGGGATTCTGGCCTCTGTGCCTTTGCCTGTGTTACTCCATCAGACTCAGCTTGGAATGTGGCCCATTTTTAGGGTCACCTGCACTAGGACAGGGTTTGGGGGTCACTGAGCCTGAGTGGTTGTGGGGACTGGTCTGGGCTGCCTACAACAGTTGTGTTTTTCAAATTCAAGGCTTGGGAACAGTGAGTGGGCCAGGAATTGATGTAGTGGCCTGTGAATGATGCTTTTAAAAATTAAATGGAGCCTGGAGCATAACTTAGTGGTAGAGTGCTTATGTAGTGTGCAGGAAGCCACAGATTCAATTCCCAGCATTGCAAAATAAGTAAACAAATATGTCTTTAAATGGAGCAACATTTTAAAAGTAGAATATATGATATGTTCTTTTGCCTTACAAATTTTCTATCTCCAGATCTTTGTATTTGTCCTCTTGTATCAAAATATGGTTAAATTAAAAATTATTTTATGTGTATGTGTGTTTTGCACACATGTGTGTCTGTGCGCCACTTGCATGCTTGGTGTCCATGGGGGCCAGAAGAGGAATTGGATCCCTGGGAACTGGAGTTACAGATGGTTGTGAGCCTTTCTTTGGGTGCTAGGAATCAAACCCAGGTCCTCTGTAAGAGCAGCCAGTGCTTTTAATCACTGAGTCCTCTTTCCAGGCCCCCAAATACAGTCCAGAAGGCCCTGCCTGTCCTGCGAGGCCTGTTGTGACTGCTTCCTTCCAGTCTCTCTGCTTCTGTTCAGTTTCTCATTCCTGGAATGAGTGAACTGACTTCCTGCTCCTGAACACTAAGATCTCAGCGTCTTCCCCCAGATCTTCCACTCTTGAACTTATTCAAGCTCTGTATGGTGACTCTGGGGGTAGGGACTGATGACCCCACCTTTTTCAGCACCCTGTCCTGAATTTCCAGAAGTGTCAACTCCACCCTCTCTGAGACTTCAAGGGTCTTAGCCCCATCATCCACTGAGCTGGGCATACCCAGCTCGGCTCCTGTATCCCTGTTAGACCAAGCTTCGCTTCCCATATCTGGGTGCAGACTAGGAGAATGTACAGCCCTGCCCCTTCCTAGCCCCAGACCTTCACATGTCCCTCTTCTTTCTGGCTTTATTGTCATTCCATCTGTCCATCCAACCATCCATCTAGCCATCCAGCCATCCTTCCCCAGAGCGGTGTCCTTCTCTTGTGTCACTAGCCTGAGACTGGCTGTTAAGGTCAGATGCCACCTCTGAGAAGATGCTTCCTGCCCCATCAGGCAGTCTCCCACTGCCCATGGCACCATGGCCATCTGTGCAGACTCTGGCTTGGCATCCATCACCTTGTGTTAGGTGGATGTTCTTTTCCCCCTCATCAGCTTACTGGAGGGACCTCCCTCGAGAGCAGTGGTTCTCAACCTTCCTAATGCTGCCACCCTTTAATACAGTTCCTCCTGATGTGGTGACCCCCAACCATAAAATGATTTTCATTGCTACTTTACAAATGTAATTTTGTAACTGCTATGAATCATAACGTAAGTATCTGAGCTGCAGATGGTTTTGGTCTTAGGCAACCTCTGTGAAAGAGTCATGTGACCTCCAAAGAGGTTGCGACCCACAGTTTGAGAACTGCTCTAGAGAGCTTCCCTACATATCCTGCAAATCTGTCCCACCCTGTGGTTGTTTGTGCTAGTAACTGCAGTGTGTGCAGGCTCTTTCATTTCCTGTATGTTTCCCAGTGCAGAAGTTCAAGTTAAAACATTGTCATGTGCTGGATTGCCTGTTAAGTCAGGACATACCGATACTGCTAAGGATACATCAATGACGAAGTTTGAGTTGCTTGCAATAAGAGGTGCTTTTCATGGTCACACGGTATATCAGCAGTGTTGCTAAGGAGACTACTGTTCATTGCGACAGTCCCTGTGTGTAACACGGATCTTAAAGGGTCTTATAATAAAAAAATCCAGAGCCAGATATTGGGGTGAAAGCTGAAAGATCAGAGAAGCAGAACAGCCAGCCAGCCACTAGCTTGTTTCTATGAAATCCTTAGCCTCAAGAGAGCAAGTTCCTGTTTCCTCACACCTTATATACCTTTCTATGTCCTGCCACATTACTTCCTGGAATTAAAGGCGCTTGTCACCACTGCTTGGTTCTGTTTTTCTCATGTAGCCTAGTGTGGCCTTGAACTCACAGAGATCCAGATGGATCTCTGCCTTCCGAGTGATAGGATTAAAGGTGTGTGCCACCACTGCCTGACTTCTGTCTAATCTAGTGGCTGGCTCTGTCCTCTGATCCCCAGGTAAGCTTTATTGGGGTACACAATGTATCGCCACATCTATGTCACAGTGTTGACGAAACAGCTGCTGCTGCACAGTGTCATCAGCAGGCAGTGGGAGAGAGGACTGGCAAGGCCCCCATTCACCTGGAAGCAGCATGTCTCACTGTACTCCCAGCGCGTTAGCCAGATGGCTCGGCCAATCAGAACAGATTCATAAGTGTAATCAATCCATTAGTGCTCACAGGTAGAGGAAGAATTGCTGGTGAAAATGAGCCCCAAATGCTGTAGTTTTGATTCAGATGTCTCAGAGACCCATGAACAAAGGTCTCGTCTCAGGAGCTGTAATGTTGGGACGTGCCGGGATCCTTAGGAAGTAGGGCCTAGTGAAAGGTCTTCTTTGGCCACTGATGGAGTGCCCTTGAAGGGGATTCTGGGGTCTTTTCCTCCCCTCTTTCTAATGCTCCTTCTCCTCTACATTTTCTGTATCCTCTTCTTTCTTCTTGTCTTCCACCTCCCTGTTCTCCTCCTCTCTTCTCTCTGCCATGAGATGAGAGTGCCCCACCTCTGCCCTGTGTGCTAGGGCTCCTGCTGCACCCCTGGATCGGCAGTTTCTTGTGTCCTTTGCCTTGTTGTTATGATCTTACCAACATAGATAACATGCAAATTACCCATTTACAGCGCACAACTCTGTAGAAGGATGGATCCTGTTTTTGCATGCATTTTGTTAGTCTGTGTCTTTTTATTGGGGAATGGAGTCCATTGATATTGAGAGATATTAATGACTAATGATTGCTAATTCCTGTTATTTTGTTGTTGTTGTTGTTGTTGTTGGTGGTGGTAGTGTGTGTGTGTGTGTGTGTGTGTGTGTGTGTGTGTGTGTATTTCCATTTTTTTGGTTTTGCTGGTGTGAGATTATTTCCTGTGTTTTCACAAGTATAATTAGCCTCCTTGGGATGGAGTTTTCCTTCTAGTGGGCTGGATTTGTGGATGGATATTGTTTAAATTTGACTTTGTCATGGAATATCTTGTTTTCTCCATCTATGGTGATGGAAAATTTTGCTGGGTATAGTAGTCTGGGCTGGCATCCGTGGTCTCTTTAAGTCTGCAAGACACTTCTCTAGGCCTTTCTGGCTTTTAGTGTCTCTGCTGAGAAGTCAGGTGTAATTCTGATAGGCCTGCCTTTATATGTTACTTGCTCTTTTTCCCTTGCAGCTTTTAATACTCTTTCTTTGTTCTGTATGTTTAGTGTTTTCATTATTATGTGGCAAGAAGACTTTCTTTTCTGATCCAGTCTATTTGGTGTTCTATATGCTTCTTGTACCTTTATAGGCATGTCCTTCTTAAGGTTAAGAATATTTTCTTCTATGACTTTGTTAAATATATTTTCTGGGTCTTTGAGCTGGGTTTCTCCTCTTTCTTATATTCCTATTGTTCTTAGGTTTGGTTTTTTCATAGTGTCCCAGATTTTCTGGATGTTTTGTGTCAGGAATTTTTAGATTTAAAGTTTTCTTTGACCAATGTATTCATTTCTTCCATCATATCTTCTATGCCTGAAAGTCTCTCTTCCATCTCTTGTATTCTGTTGGTGATGCTTGCATCTGTAGTTTCTGTTCACTTACCTAGATTTTCCATCTCCAGGATTCTCTCAGTTTATGTTTTCTTTATTGCTTCTATTTCCATTTTCAGGTCTTGAACAGTTTTATTCATTTCCTTCACCTATTTATTTTTTCTTGGCCTTCTTTAAGGGATTTATTTATTTCCACCCATTGTTTGTTTTCCTTGATTTCCTTAAGGGACCTTCAAATATTTGTGTTTTCTTGGATTTCCTTAGTGAATTTCCTCCATAAGGAATTCTGTCATCTTCATAAAGTTGGTTTTACGGTTATTTTCTTGTACTTCAGCTGTGTTGGAATATTCAGGATAGGTGGTAGGATTGCTGGCCCTGGTGGTGACATGTTGCCCTGGCTGTTGTTGATTTGTTCTTACACCTGCCTCTAGGCATCTGGGTTTGGGGTAATTATAGGTTTAGGTGCCAATTTCCAAGTTTATCTTTGTTGGATGGGTATTTTTCCCCTTGGTTTCTATTTCCTCTCTGGTCTTCTGGCCAGAGTGGTCTGTGGTTCTGGTAATCAGCCAGCGAGTCCTCAGGTCCAAACAGGTGCCTTTATTGGGGCTTTGGTGGTCTGCATGACCTCTGGGGTTTGGGGTACCAGCATTGCCTCTGGGGTTCTAGGGTCCTGGTAACTGGTGTGGCCTCTGGTGTTCTGGGTACCAATGTGGCCTCTGGTAGAACAGGGAGCTTCTTCTGGAGTTGTGGGCTGGGATATGGAGATGAGGGGAGGAGCCATGTAAAATTTTATAGTAACACTTTACATTGTGATAAAAATCCAAATGTTACTTAAAAAAACTTGAGTATAGTTTTTAAATTATGAAAGTTCCTCATCTCCCACCAGGGATATCTTCCCATATGCTGTGCCACACCAAACATCTGAAGGTCTGTATTAGTGACCTTTCTGTTGCTGTGATGAGACATCGTGAACAAAGGCAACTGAAGGAAGAGTTTGTTTTGGCCTTTGGTTCCAGAGGGCTAGATATCTATAATGGCAGCCAAGGTATGGCCACCAGGAGCAGGAAGCTGAGAGATCACATCTCAGTTGCACACACAGGAAGTAGAGATCGCAAAACTGGTCATGGGGCTAGGCCATAAACTCTCAAAGTCTGCCCCAAAGGTTGTACTTACTGCCTCCATGAAGGCTCTTCGTTCTAAAGTTCTAGAACCTCCCCAATCAGTACCACCAACTAGAGACCAAGTGTTCAAATATGTAAGCCTGTGGGGGACATTTCTCATTCAAACCACCATGGTATCTGTTCAAGGTCACAGGAAGAGCAGCATGGCTGCTTAAGCAAGCTTTGGAGATGACTATGGGATTGGAAGGCACTCTCTGACAAAAGGAAGGGGAACTTGAGAAATGGCACACAAGCTTTGTCTGCTGGCCTCCGACAGCTGTGGGACCTAGCCTGGGTTCCGAGGGCAAGTCCTGTTGTTGGCATCTGAGGGATGCCCCGATTTCTCCCGTCTGTGAGGTGGTAAGGGGTATGGAGACGCACTCCATAGACCGTGGGAAGATGGGTGAGGCCCTCACAGGAATCCTGGCTCTAGGCAAGTTCCCCCAAGGAGCTGCTCACAGGATGCTCCCCTGACTCAGGCTGGCCTGGCTTCTCCCTCCTCTATCTCTCCCCTTACGGCCGTGGGGTCCTTCAGGCAGCCTCCCATGCCTTCCTTCTCTTTGCATACGTGCGTGTGGGAGGAAGCTCCTCTCGTGACTGGAGCCGGTGCTGGAGCTAGTGGATGGGTGGGAGGTGCCAGGTGGTGTCTTCTCTCCGAGGCTCCAATCCAATGGACAGGCACCTGCCCTCACCCTTGTCAGTAACCCCTGCTTGTCCTTGCACAGCGAGTCACAGCTGTCCCCATGACTCCAGAGGCCAGAATCCCCATGGGTGTTCTAGTGATGTAGATAAGATAGTGACATATGCTTTGACCTTTTGTGGCTGGTTCATTCCATTCATCACAGTGTCATTGCGGGACAAACATAGTGTAATTGGAATTGTTTCACTTTTCACAGGCCCGTGAGATTCCATTGCTCTCTGCACCACATTTTACATACCTGTCTTCTGTGGACACAAAACTGACTTTAACAATAGATTTGAATTCCATAAATGTCCTCTGTGTAATCGGTGGGGACTGATTAACAGGATGGTCTCCATTTTTAGGGTCTGGCTATTTTCTCCACACAGAGAAGATCTCAGCTCTGACTCTCCCGACTCAGGTGCACAGTAGACACCAGTGGTTGATGGCCACCGCGTGGACACTGGGTTCTAGAAAGTGGCCACTGCATGGACATCATGTTCTAGACACCTCAGGTAAGCTTTACCTCCTAGAAGCTATGGTGTGGCCTCCGGGTGGCCTGTAACTGCTCATCATACAGTATGTTGGCTCTCCTATGAGGTGCAGGGGTGGGTGGGAGAGGTAGGTGGCACTCCACCTCTGCTATGCTGCCCTCAGGCTGGAGGCCGGCGGCACCCACTCTGAGTGCCCAGGTACTCAAATTCCCAGGCTTCGGGCAGCATTAGGCAGCAGGAGGAAGAGGTGGCTACTGCTCTTGCTGGCTGCTGTAATTGAGTATGGCTTTACTGTGGCAGCTTTGGTGACAGCCATGATGTCCAGGCCCTGGACAGAAGGGAGCCACCCACTTACAGGCCTGGTGTAAACAGCTTGTTCCTGACAGCAGTGCCAGAGTCCCTTAATACCTGCCATGTGTCCTGCGTAGTTGACAGGGTTGAAGAGATTTCTATCCTTTGCAGGTGAGCGTGGGCAGGTGTCATGACAGTCCCGAGGTTTGGATTTGCACAGTGTGTGGGGTGCAGTTTGACAAGAACTCTCATAGCCACAGCACGGCCTGTTGTCTGGCTGTGTGCGGGATGACCTTGATGCTCTTGTTACTAAGACATGCCCACTTTGCTGAGGAAGCCTGCGGTACCAAATTGCTTTAACTAAAAAGTCAGTGAATGCGCCTGTCTGGGCAGCTTTTCTAGCTGTACAGAGTACAGGCAGTCAGGTCATAATTGAATTCAGTAGTGATATGAGAGGCAGGAAGAGCTTGGGAAGAGTCTGGAACTCATGCCAACTTGGACAATTGATGAAATAAATGGGAAGAAAATTGATTATGGTTTTAGACGGGTATTCATTTTATGGCAGATGTTTAAGGGGCACTTTCATCTATAGATTATAAAGCAATTTAGGGAGCTCATCCATAAATATTTTAGGAACATATTTCTTCTTTAGGAAGAATACTTTTTATCATCAGTGCACCCTCTCCTGCTGGCTGTCAGTCACTATCAGTGAACCGGGCATCTCATTTAAATGGAATCCACATTTGTCAGCAGTGAGTGTTTGAGGACCGTATTGGAGTCTCTGGAGAGATAAGCCATCCTAAGAAGTCCCACTAATGTCATACTTATGCAAATGAAGTCCAGGAGGCAGAGGAGCCTCCCACAGAGCATGGCTGCATTCTGAAAAGTCGATGGTTTTCATGAACTGAGAAACTTCATGACTTGGAGTGGGCTGGAGGAGTGAGCGGCCTGGCTCTGGGCCTGTTTGGACAGAACCCTTGAACATATATGAGCACATGCAACACCATATTCATGTGTGTGGGTGTGCCATTGCACATATGTAGATATACAGAGTCTGGGCCATCTGTTTTTAGAGATACAGTACCTGAGGAATTGCGTGGTGTGTGTGTGTGTGTGTGTGTGTGTGTGTGTGTGTGTGTGTGTGTGTGTGTGTGCTTGCCTGGTTTTTTCCATGTTTGTAGACAGTTGCCTTGGGCTCTTGCCTTCTTGGGACACCTGTACAGCAAAGCAGACCTTGCTGATTCAGGACACAGAACTGGAGAAGCTCAGTCACCTGCTTGGGTCACATGGTGGGTGTGGCCTTGGCTCTGAGTACCTGACACACTTAGTGAGGTGGAAGAATCCATAAAACCATTTCAGCCCTGTGTGGTCCTGAGTGGTGGGCACAGGCTCCTCACAGTTCCTCGTTCACTAAGGGTGCCTTCTGCATGTTGAGCAAAACCTGCCTGGTCTGAACCCGGGAGGCAGGTTTTTACTGAGAATTATTGTGAGGATGGGGACAGGGTAGTTATGGGAGTGAGGAGTCCTTGTGTAGGTGTCAGAGCAAATCTGAATTGAAAAGCCACTGGGCACCAAGCCAGCCTCATTCACTGGGAGTGATGCCCGTGTGAGCTTGGTCCCTGTTTAGGCCTGGACCTGCTCAGAGGCTAGCACATTTTATATAGTAACAGAGAAGAGTCTGCAGGGTGAGGAATGTCAGCCACCCGCAGGGAGAAAAGAAAGAAGGGTGTGATTAGTGTACGAGCCCCAGCAGAGCCCTCTAGAGCCACTGCTGCCCTGTCTGCTTCCAAAGACTGAGTTGCTGCTTTAAAAAGGCAAGAACGGCTGGTAGTCCTGTTAGACAGTTAACTGGATATGCGTGACTGAGCCTCCCCATCGGAGGGCCCTACTTTCAGCAGAACGACAAAACAAATCCTCAGTAAGGCAAGAAAAAAAAGGACAAGGGAGAGAGGAGGATGGCCGGAGCACGGTTGGTCACCACAGAGCCGCCAGGGAGCATGACGGGAAGGAAGGGCAAGTCCCAGGAGTCCCTTCAAGGACACCTCTCATCCTTCCTCCAGGCCTCTTATAGGTCACCCCCAACGTTGCCACAGGCTGGCACCAAACTTCTGACACATCAGTGTGTGACGTTTAGGATCTAAACCACAAGACCCATGGAAGCAGAAGGTGGAATTTAATGGAAAGCTAGCCGCGAGCCTCAGAGGAATTGCTTATGGTACTAACTCCCCCTGAAAAACCATGGGCTTTACACAACTTCCAAGGAATAAATAATCCCTAATTTAGACGTATCTTTTCAGTAAATAGAAGTAAGAGACACATCCCAGTTCATTATTCAGAGCAAATGCAGTCTTAACGCAAACTGGGTAATTAAAATATAATAAAAAGCACTCAGGACACATATGAAAATCTCAGATATGTATCAACTCATTGATTTTTACTGTATGTTAAAAAAGTAAAACATGGATATATGGATGCTCAGTATGGTAAACCATATTGACAGGATTTATCCTGTGAGTGGAAAAAGAAGAAGCCCCTGTATTCTTTCATGGGTGTAGCTTTTTGTGTGTTTTAGGCTTAAAATCAGGGCTTCACTCACACTAACCAGGTGCTGTCCGACTGGGCTCTACCAAGCCCCATAAAAATCCTTTTGAATATTCACCTCTCCTCCCTAATGAAGGGAACCAGCCTCTCTCTCTCCATCAGCCTAAGAAGCAGGCTGTCTATCAGAAGTCAAATTGAACCTTTTTTGAAGAATTGGGGAAAGAGGCTCTTTGTCAGGACACTAGGGTGTTACTTGAATCATGGGCTGAAGGGTCCTTTTACAGATTGGTGCCTGGGTTGTCCCAGACCCTGCCTTCTGTTACGTTCTGCCCTTCAGAGAACTGTGACTGTCTAGATGCTTCTGAAACTCACCCCTAAACTTATTCCTGAACTATTTGATGATCAAACTTAGCATTCTGGCTCCATGGAAAATAGCAATTCCATAGTAAGTCCCCACCACCCAGTAGGTGACAAAACTGTACACACAGCCACTCTCCATTGCTCAGCAAATGGGGACACCCGAAGCCCATGTCCCCAGTGCTTCTCTCAACAGCCACAGCACATCGCTGTCCCATAGTTTACATTCCCAGATCACAGCCTGCATTCTGAGGCCCAGCCTCGAGCCCTCTGTGTGACAGTCTGAGCCAGCCGTCCCTCTTCTGGGACCTGGTTCATCACCTCCGTGCAGGGGGAATCCTGCATGTCGCCCCTCTGGAAGCAAGTGAACCCCAAGACTCAAGGAGTTATTTATTTAGATTGGCTCCACGCCTCTACTTCTAATTTTAGAATGGATTGAAATTAGTTTTGAATAGGAGTTTACGGATTTCTTGGCCACATTTATGGACCTTTGAAAGCTTAGAACATTTTTTTTTCTCCAAAGGACAAAAAGAACTCTAGTGCCTTGGGTTTTATACAACTCCACGTAGACAGCGGCCAGTGGGCATTTATACATAAAGGGCCTCACTGCTGACTGGCAAACCTGCATTCACTTTATCCTCAAGGAAGTGAGACCCAGTCCCTCTCAGCCTCCTCCTCATCACCTACCATGCACAGTTCTAGATGAGAGCCTGCCTCCCTGCTCCCTGGGGTGTCATCCTGGCAGAGGTGGAGGTCTTCCCACATCCCATCTCTGTTCTCCCCAGAGCCAGGCAGACCAACCACACTGGGAGCTATTGCCCTGCGCCAGGAGGTGCAGTGACTATACTCTGGAGATTTGCTTTATGTCTGAAGCCTGCAGCTTTGTCCACAAATCGAGCTGGCCGTGGTTGTTTGCCTTAACCCAAGAAAACGCAAAATGATTTTCACATGTACGGGCACACACTCACACATTGTTGGTGTTCTATTCCACTTTGCTTTGATGATTTCCTCCTATGGGGGGGGCATAGTTAAACCCAGAAACCCTGAAATCTGGAATTCGAAACGCCCTCTCCACAGCTGAGGAAAGAATGCAGAAACACACTATAGAGCCTCATGGGGAATTTGAGAAAAAGCATGCAAAGTATCTTTACATGTGTGGAAAATGCTTTGGCATACATGTGCCCGAGGTCAGGCTGCCGTGACTGTGCTTAAAGAGCAGGAGAGTGAACTGAGAGTGCAGAGGCGCTGCCGGGCTCGCACCGAGGCTTCACTGCTCTGTCAGCCATGTTGAAGCCACCTTCTCTTCGCACCGGCCTCTTTGGCTCTTCTTCTCCCCTGTTTTCTCTAGGAGGAAGGGCCCTTCATCACTCTTGTGCCTGCGTTCGAAGGCACCGTCTCCCCCAAGGGAGACCACCTCTTGCGTCATTCGGCGTCCGGTGGTGCCCAATGAGTTTGCTGTCGCCCTTGGGTGCCTAATGTCATTAAAATGCTTACGTGGCTCTGCATGTACAGAGTTGCTCAGAAGCCTCCAAGCCTCCTTCGGTAGCCCCCATCCAGTCAGTCCAGTCACTGGGAACCACCCTCACCACTCTGAGCTTCTCTGGTCAGAGGCCCAAGGTGTGGCTTGCTGGGGCAGTGATTTGTTCTCATTACGGCTGCCTGCTTACAGCCCTGGGGACCTTTCTGTACTCCAGGCTTTACTACAGGCATGTCTCGACATTCTTCAAATCCAGAGGGGATCTCAAAATAGAATAAGAAATGAGAATTTAAATTGGAAGCAACAGTGCTGGCACCATGCCCCACCCCACCCCTGTGCCCTCCTCTTTGGCATG